AAAAAAAATGAAAAAATAAAAAAGAAAAATGAAAGAAAAAAGAAAATAAAAGAAAAGGAATAAAAAAGAAAAAAGAAAAGAAAAAAGAAGAAAAAATAAACAAGAAAAAAGAAAAAAGAAAAATAAAGGAGAAAAAAGGAAAAAAGAAAAAAGAAAAAAGAAAAGAGAAAAAAAAGAAAAAAGGAAAGGAAAAAAAGGGGGGGAAAAAAAAGAAAAAAAAGTATTTCTGAGCAGGGTTGGCCCAACACTTTGTGAGCGATGGGGCAGCTGTGGGAGTATTTTTGCCTGTTTCCGTACCGTCTGCAGAGGCGCGGATGGCTGCTCGTGCTTGGAGGCAGCATCTTGGAGCTCATCACAAAGGTACCGGAAACATTCTGGTTTCCCAAGAAAAAAAAACCTGGAGAAGTAGCGTGACTTAGCGATGTGGGCGCTAAAGCACGGCTGACACAAATGTAAGGATAAAAGACTGACCCTGGTGTGCAGTGCCACCCAGAACTGCTGGTCACGGCGGGCTGGAGATGGCCGTTTCCTTTTCAGGGAGCTGTTCTTCATTGGCAACTGGAGGCACGACAGGGACGTCATCTTAAATAGTCGCCCAGAAATGCTGGTCATTCCAAAACACTTTTGCAGAAAAAAAAAATTTCTTCAAATGTTTTTCTGAAATAGGCAAAAAAAAAAAGGAAACCCCTTTGTTTCCCCTCAAACTACCATTTTTTCCTAGTTCCTTCCATCTACAGCCCTCTCTCCATCATTGTTCATCCCTGCCCTCAACAGCCAAACACAGTCCCGGGGCCAGCTACCCAGTGTAGGCGCTAGCCCCCAGCGCCGCAGGAGGTCTGCGGGGCGCAGCGGGAGGAAGATGCGGCGCTGCCCCTCCTCTGCCAGCCACAGCACGATTGTGACCCTTCTGGTGCCCTGGGAAATACAATCAGCACGGGCACATCCTTAATTTTGTTCTTCTCCCAGACGCTGCTCTGCCGTGCCCAGACCTGCTGTCCCCCAGCACAGAGGGGTCGTCCCTGGCACAGGGCTCCCTTGCCAGCCTCCCTCCCACCCGCTGCGTCCCACTTTCTTTGTCAAGCATCCATTCCAAGCATGGCAAGTCAAAAGGAGCCCCAAAAGATGAGCGTTGTACCTTCAAATGCCAGGGGAGCCTAAAAGCCGCATCTCACCAGTGATGGCTGGAGAAGCCTCGGCTCCAGTGTTCCCCCAGTCGGAGGCACACACTGGGCACGACCTTCGGTCTCTGGCGCCTGCTGCTCTGCTGGCCCTGCTGATTGGGGACCGGTGTTTCATCTCAACTCTTTGCAGGGCTGAGCATCGCACTTTGCAACGAGATGTACAGGAAATAGCAAGACACATGCCAGCAGAAATTAGCAGAGGAGTAAATACAGCGAACGTCTGCAGGCAGCACGCGCTTCGCCAAGCTTTAGTTTGGTGATGGCAAATCAGGCAAATGGAAAACATTAGAGGGGAGAAGCTTCGGGAGCCAGACGTGATCTGGCTTTTCTCAAGCAGAGCTCAGAAAGCCAGCGCGGTGTCCAGCTGGTCAGTAGATGTGTGAGTTATACAAAGCAGAGCAACTTCACACACACAGTGCATTTTATCATAAAGCTGAATCAGTTCCTATTAGCAGAATACCTTATACAAGTTAATGAAATTTCATGTTCCTGACAAAACAGCGTTCTCCAGCGAGTGTGCACCCATGGCAGGAAATCGGAGTTCAGCCAGGAACACCAAAATATTCCTCAAATATTTGTTGTTGAATTTTGTGACAGTTTTCTCCTATAGTCGGTTTCTTACCTGCCTGTGAAGGGACATGATTTTTAATTTAAATTTATTTTCTCTCCGTCTATTTTTCTCCCATGCCCCTCCCTTTCATCTTTCTCACATGTCATTACAGCAACATGTGGATCCCGTAGCTCATGTATGGTAGCAGTTGTTTCCTTGGTGTAGTATGTGTTTGCAAGGAAAATAATTAGTGTCTGTTCCTTTGGAGTGGCCTTCCTGAAGCCCTGCCATTCCCACACCACGTCCCAGGGCTGAGCTGACGGCCCAGGAGGGGTTTCCAGCCTACAGTTCCCTGTAGCTGTGTCCTGGAGACCGTCCATCTGCCCGGAGAGCCGGACCTGCTGCAGGAGCAGCACCCTCGCCAGCCCTTAGTCTGTGATGCTGAGTGCTCCGCCCTCCAGTTCGAGCTGAGTGAAAACATCCTTCCTGAGCTCTCTGGCACCCCGCTCCTCGCCTCGCCCCCAGCCCCAGCGGCACAGCGCCTCAGGACACGAGCCACGCAGCACGGGGCTCCTGGCTCCGACTGTGCTCCCACCGCAGGGCGGGGGTCATGAGGGGCAGCGTGAGCTCCCCGCACCCTCGCTTCTGGGAGAAGGGGTGCCCAGAGGCCGGCGTGCCGGGCAGGCCTGTGCAGGTCCTCAGGGCGGCAGGTCCCCATCGGGTGGGATGAGCACATCCTCCTGCTGCAAACGCCTTTTTCCACCAGCAGAGGAAATCTGGGTTTCCCACCTTTGCTATGGGCCAGACAAGCAGTGCAGGAAGGCGTCTGAGCGAGGGGCTTCGCTGCGTGCCGTGCAGCGGCCCAGCCTCTGCTAGCGAGCCCCAGACCTGCCGAGCGGCCGCTGGGACCATGCTTTCCTGTGCGAGCCGCTGCACGGCCCCGAGCCATGGCAGGAGAAGGAGCCGATGTCCGCAGGGCACCGAGGGTAGGGCA